TTTTTTTTTTAAATATGACCGTGGGTATCTGGGCAATTTATGCACACCTCGACTAATCCCACAGAGCTCTGAAGTTTACAGTCAAATACTTACTTCAGTGGCACTGAGGGGATTTGAACCAGTAACCATTGGGAAACAAATCCAAGACTTGACCACTGAACTACCTCTCAAGGTTTGGCAGCAGGGAATCTGGCATTAACCATATAGTACTAGAGCCAGCTTGATTATCTAACTCCCAAAACAAACTGATAAAAGAACAATGCAGTATTAAAAAGTTCAAATGCATGAAATTTACCCTTCCAATTGATTTGAGTTCCCTTCCAACTGGTTCAATAAACTTCATGTCGATCTCAATGGGCCATACCTGCATAAATGAGTGTGAAGAGAATGAATTTTACTTGGAAAATATGAGCTAGAGGGCTAGGAGGATGATTAGGCCACGTGCCACAAAAGAAATTGAGAATTCCTATTACCTATGAGCTAGAAACAAATAAATAATATCCCTTCCAAAAGAAATTATTTCTAAACTCTATAAAATTCAATATAACCTCATATATGATACAACTCATTCTCCCCGTACACTTCTATTTTTCTAAATTCAATGTGTTTTTTGAAAATCTGTGAACACTGCCACTTGCTTAGGGATGGCAACAACGCGGGGTTGGAGTTGATGCAACATCCCCCACCCCGTCGGGTAATTTCTCGACCCGTACAAGCCCTGTTACAGTTCAAGGTGGGGTGGGCGGGATTCTGTCCCATTTATTATTATTATTATTATTATTATTATTATTATTATTATTATTATTATAGTTTTTGATAATTCATTTTATTGTCATATTCATTAAAGTGAGACAATAGTATATTTATTAATTTTTTACTTTATTTTTAACAGTTAATTTATTCAAATATATTTGATAAACTAAAGTTTTTATTGTTTGTTATATTACTTAGATAATTTTAGTTGCCATATTCTATTAGAACTAATAAAATTTCATGAAATTTTCTATTTAAAGAATTGAATTCTTCGAAAAAAATTAAAGGGGGCGGGTGAGGCCTTTGTTATTTGTACCCACCCCGGGGCGAAGTTACTGCCCCGTCCTCCACCCGAATACCCAATTAAACGGCCCGTTCGAGATAGGGCCCCGTGGGTATTGGGTTTAGCAAATTTTTTTGCCATCCATACATCCGTTTTTGTTGAAGGGTTGAAGCAAATAATTGACCTTCATTCTTTCCAAGTACACAACTAATCCACTTTTAGCCCCCATTAATTTCAATTCCATTACATTTCATTTTTCTCTCTCCTATTTTCAACCACACAATCTTTCATAAAATAATATTACACAGAAATCGAAAATTTTTCCTTTTTTTTTCAACCACTCATTTAAAAAAAAAAACACTATTATATCCATTTTCATTTCCCTAAAATGGGGGCCAAACGGGGGCTTAATTTTATGTGATGTTGCGGCAAATCTCTATTCATAACTTTAGAGGTCTTATACAAATGAAAGTCAATTTAAAGTCATAACTACCCCTTTGAGCAGTGTATTTACCTGCTGTACTGTTGGACATCATGATGCGGATATCACTTATATTATTATCGCACCATCAATTATATTATTATCGCACTATTTTACTTTTTCTAGTTATTGGGCTTGTATTATTGGTTTGGCCCAAGCCCATCACTGGTAGGGTTATGCTTTTACTATTTATATGATTTTCAGTTGTAATTTCAGTAGACAATGAATTGATGAATGAAATAATGTTTGGTTAAGTTTTCTCCTCTTCTTCCCCGGCCTTCTTCCTCCCACCCTCTCTCTGTTTCTCCTCCCCGTTTCTTCTTCTTCTCCCCTGGTTTCTCAACTTCTTCCTGACTACTTCTTCTTATTGAAATCCCTCAATCTCTCCTACATCAAAGTGGTATCAGAGCCGAATCTTGGGTACTTTCTTTTTACAATCCAAAATCTCTTATTTTCTCCCAAATCTCGTTGGAACAGCACAATTGAAAAAATAGCAATTTTTTTTCATTTTGTTCTCTGCCTTGATTGAAGAAAAAAAATAAAAAAATCATGTTACTGTTCACACCCGGGATTCTAAATTTTTGATTTTCTTTCTGTAGTATTAAAAAAAAAAAAAAAGATTTTTTTAACATTGTTTTGCAGATACCTCTTCCTGTTCTGTTGATCAATTCAGTCGCTTCGATGAACAAAAAGGAGAGTTACCATTCTATTTATCTTTGGTACATTACTGTTTATCTTAGAAATTGCATCAATTAAATTTTTGTGCTGTTGCTGATCTAGTTGTTTATCTAAACTCACGTAATTGGACCCATTCACTTCGATAAGTTCCACTTTTACCTTATTTATTTTACGTGATTAGAGTTTGACTAGTATTTGACCCTTGCTTTGCTATTTTACTTATACCAACAGTATTAGCTTGTTTTGGATTTTAGTCCCAAAATTTAAATTAAAAAAAAAAAAGAAATAGCACAAATTTTCATTTTCCATTACTTACACTTTTTGTTCGTTAATCTCTCTATTGCATGTCACTAAGTTGCTATTACAGTGCATGTAGTTACATATTGGTCATCTTGTCACTTCTAACTCCAGTACCTTAAACATGGACCCCTCACAATTCGATGCACTCACCCGACAAATAGCGACTATTCAAACTCAAATGGAAATAGCACAAATTTTCATTTTCCATTACTTACACTTTTTGTTCGTTAATCTCTCTATTGCATGTCACTAAGTTGCTATTACAGTGCACGTAGTTACATATTGGTCATCTTGTCACTTCTAACTCCAGTACCTTAAACATGGACCCCTCACAATTCGATGCACTCACCCGACAAATAGCGACTATTCAAACTCAAATGACCTCTACTCTTGAAGAGAGTAAGGCCCTATCTGTTAGTTTGAAAAATTTTAAACACATCCCTCATTCAATTGATGTTGATACTTCTAAGGTGTCCCATAATAGACAACATCATCGATAAGGTAATCAAAAATACTTTCGACCCGATCGTAAGGATAGAGATAGGAATAGGGATCAGATTCATGAGCGAGAACGAGATAATTTTTAAATTCTTACTCAATGGAATGCCCTTAAACAAGATAATCAATTAGTGACTGAGTATATCGCGCAATTTGAGGAATTTCGAACCAAATGTCATTTAATTGAGGATGAGAGCACGACTTGAGTAGGTTTAGCCAAGATCTGAGAAATTATCTTAAGTGCGAGCTTTTCCTTCGTGGTGTTACTACTCTTGATCACGCTTACTCTTTAACTCGAGATTATGAGTTGATTATTAGTACTCCATATGAAAAGCGTGGTCATCGTCGTTCACCCATCTCATTAGCGTCGCCTCATCATAAGTCTATCATAAAACCATTTACATCTAATGTTCCTCCTATTTGGAAAAATAATTGTAAAGGTCGTGATAGTCCAAGATCTTCTTCTCCATGTAGAAAGCATATTGACAATCATCCTTTGGTGTGATTGGCTCCACTTCCTCCCGTTAAGTCCCTTCGAGGACCTCCCCCGTCTGATGTTCCTCCAATTTTGAAAAATAAAGGTAAAATTTTTTATAATCATCATTTGGCTTCATTGGCTCTACCTCCTCTCGTTAAGTCCCTTCTAGGACCTCCCCCTTCTAATAGTTCTCCAATCTTGGAAAATCGGGGTAGAATTTCTGAAACTCCAAGGTCTTCTTCTCACTTATTATGCGTCAACTGTAAAGACTTTGGTCACATTTCTTCTAAATGTCCTAATCGAACCTTAGTCATGGAAGAACGAAAGAATTTAATAGAGGAGCCGTTTGACAATCTAGTCTATGAACCTAAACTTCAAGATTTTGATGACTTGGATGATAGTGAGGACACTTCCTTAGGTGGAATCCAGACTCTTCCCGAGACTTTGGATACTATACCCCTTATCTCCGATAATTCTCGATCACATGTTATATGTAATACCCTTACCCAAGTTAAAGAGCTTGATAATGTCACCAGTCACCCTTGGAAAATCTAGTCACATGTGGTTAACACTAAGGCAAAATTATCCACCACTGACCAACCTCAAATTGATGGTCAAAACAAAAGTGCTAACCTAAATCCTGACAATTTATTACAGTCTTTAATCCAGAAAAATCTTGAAAATTGGGACTTGATCCCTCCAACTGTTCAAATTGCATATAACGATCCTGTGAACTAGTCTTTAGGTCTAAAACCCTTTGAAGTTATTCTTGGTTGTGAACCTTTGAAACCTCTAGACCTTATTCTTATGCACCCACATGTTTGTGTGTCTATGTCAGTTGAGGTAGTTGTATCACATTTTTATAGCTTGTATATTGAGATCAATAAACAATTTGAAGCAAGTAAAGCATTATATAAACCTCAAGTTGATTGGCATAAACAACACTTTGAATTTAATATTGAGGATTATATTATATTGCAAGCGTGCAATGCCGGTCTTTTTAAAATTTCAAAGCATGTTGGTCAAAATGCCTATGTCAATGATCTTTTATCACATTATGACCATCACCCTATTTTATTTGGATTTCGATACTTACAATGGTTATTTTAACACTTTTGTTGATCCTTTTCTATCTCTACCTGAGAACTCCCACATCGAATCTTTTGCTATGTCTATTTGAATACCACCTGTCGCAGCAGACAAAGATAAAATTGATATAATTTTAGATGAACAGGTTGTGTTAACCATTGATGGAGAGAATCGATGCTTCTTTAATTGTTGGGTAGATCAACATTCTTATTGTGCTCCACATTATGCGCAATCATGTGAAGATTTTGAAGAGGGGTTGCAGGAGTACTTGTTATTTGGAGTCCAATGTCGATACTTGATTAAAATGAGGGATCGTCCACCTTGGTCGGATCATGTTCTTGAGGACAAGTTGCCATTCGCATTGTTATCAACCGTGGAGTTCAGATATTTGGTTATTCATAAAAATCGTCCACCGTGGTATGAGTTCAGACATTGAAGATTGACGGTAGTTCTTTGTCATTTGTTCACTCGACAGAGTCGAGTTTTTCTTTCACCCCGGGAGAATTGATGCGGACATCACTTATATTATTATCGCACCATCAATTATATTATTATCGCACTATTTTACTTTTTCTAGTTATTAGGCTTGTATTATTGGTTTGGCCCAAGCCCATCACTGGTAGGGTTATGCTTTTACTATTTATATGATTTTCAGTTGTAATTTCAGTAGACAATGAATTGATGAATGAAATAATGTTTGGTTAAGTTTTCTCCTCTTCTTCCCCGGCCTTCTTCCTCCCACCCTCTCTCTGTTTCTCCTCCCCGTTTCTTCTTCTTCTCCCCTGGTTTCTCAACTTGTTCCTGGCTACTTCTTCTTATTGAAATCCCTCAATCTATCCTACATCACATCACCTTTTCGTTTCTTTTCTTTTTTTCTTTTTTTTAAATATTAATGCTCTTTAGTTCTTTAGAATAATTTTTGTATGCTGCTTCATTGAAATTTCATTAACTGTTAGCAATCTAATAATCATCAAGACCTTCCTCTGAATCTTCTTTACACTTTTGGGACAAGAAATGAATATTTTAATAGCAAATATTAATTAACTTTGAATTTTCTAAACCATAATAATTGCTTTCGAGTTTACAGGCTAACTTTTTCCACTTCTAAATTTAGATTCACACTAACTTGAATATCATCAACTTTTCTGATGGGAAGGTGGTGTGAAGTTATCTTTTACAGGTTTTCAAAGACTGGGAAGTGCAGCTTATTCAAAAACTTATGGTGAAGCATTATGAGTTTAGACATTGTGGATGCAATGTGGATAGAATAGCCTGGAACAGCTCTAGTAATGACATATTTTCTTTAAGTCTTTTTATGAGCTTTTTCTTTGAGTTTCAATTCCCAAATGAAGTCATTAAATTGCAAGACAAAAAATGTAGCTCCGAGTTCAAATATATACTGAAATAAGCAAAAGCGTATGTTGATTTTTCACGTAAGTAACATTTAAGATGAAGAGAAAAATGAACTATTTAATAATAAAAAGCTCAGGCTCACAAAAGGCACCTTAAGACCAAGTAATTTAACAGGTGCAATCTGTCCAGGCACAATGCAATCTGGCCCTGCTGCTTCCAATATAGCCTCCTTCCCTAGCCCACTCCCAATGGGGTCTGGGTGCTGAAAATTCCCACCATAGAACCATAAGGTTACAGAAAGCATAATGCTCTGAACTTTATTCGTAATTTTAGAAATCGAAGAAACATGCAGTAAATGAAAAGATAATTGATACACATGCACAGTAAAGATTGTAACTTTACATGAAAATAACAAAACTGGGCAACAATCACTAGCAAATGAACCAAAAAGGACCTTGATACTCAAAAACCTCAATAGAAACCATATGAAATAACTATTTGAAATAGAACAACCTCTCATTCTTCTTCAAGTAATCCCACTAGAACCTAATAGAATTAATATAAGTGCATATTTGATACGCGTAGTAAACATGACTAGAAAGTCACAACATTTTCTTCTATAATATTGTCCATAGCTATCAATCCTCAGTACCCAATGTACCAGGAAAGCATAGAAAGTATAAAATTCTATAATTAAACGGAAAATATAGCCACTCTATAAAACTATTGAAACTTTGTAATACCTCACCAGCAAAAGCACTAAATACGAACTTCAAAATAAATAAACAAAACCCCATAATAATAATAGAGTTAATTATCGACAATTACATACACATAAACGCCATATACGTCTACTAACCTTCATAACAGAGAGAGCATATTCCGAAAGGGGGGTTTGAGGGAGACGAAGAACTGGGGAAAGGTGAATTTTAGGAATGGGCTTGGAACCAGGGGATGCCCTCCAGGGCACATCTTTTTGTAGGGAGGCTCCTCCTTTTCTGGACATTGGTTGCGGAGTTGAAGCTAAAAGTATTACTGTAACTCTCTCAAAAAATTATGCAGTGTTAGTGTATGTGCTTAGGGAGATAGACTAAATGATCGGGTGGGGTCTTCTTATGAATGAGAAATTGTGGGTTTTCTCTGTTCTATCATTGTTTCACGATAAGAATTTGGATATTAAGCTCCGAAGGTGGGTCGACTGATGGATTTATATATAAAGCGGAAGACGACGGCGGCGTTTACAGGGGATTTACCGGCTCGTCCGATTTTATTTGTAAACATGAAAAATTCTAGTGACATATAATTCTTTGTACCTCGTGGACCCTGAATACAATAAATTATGTACCGCTAGTATGATTGTATAAACATTAACACCTTGGAGCAAGGAAGTACACAAAAAATTTGGTGTAATTTTACGCCAAATTTTACATCAAATTACACCAAAATCGACCATTGAAAATAATTTTATATCAAATTTTATTTTGAATTATTTAATAACAAATTATATTATTACAAAAATCATTAAATTAGAAATTATGTTCAATGAACTAAAATATTGTATTTATTAATAAATTAAAAAAAATTAAACTTAATACTGCAAATTATAAAAATTACATTGAATGCATAAAGAAAATTTAAATTAAATGTTAAATTATTAATTCATTAAAATGAAAATAACCATCCCATTAAATAATTATAAATCAATTAAAATTTATTCATACTAAAAACTTAAAGAGGGACATAGATGAAATACTAATTCTCATAAGGTGGAAAGAAAGGCAAAATGGGGTTATTGAAAATTCTTATATTTGGTGTCATGAATAGTAACACCATTTACACTGTATTTTGTACTATTTTTGGAGTCTCATTGGAGAGGGTTTTACGCCAAATTTGAACTCTTATTGGAGGTACGCTTACCAGGGGAATATATTAATATGATATAACTTTAAAAAATATATAATAATAATAATAATACAAAAAGTCTAACAAGTCTTGACAACTAAAGATTAAAAATAAAAGAATATGAATTTTATATCTTATGTAGGGATGGCAAAACACTCGAAATCGCAAATCAACTCGACCTAATTTAGATTGGTTTGGAGCCCATTTGTTTGATTTTCAGGTTGGACCGTCGAACCTACAAATTTGGTTCGTGATTGGATTTTTCGTTTTTTAAAAGAACAGTGTAAACCATCTCTCATCCCAACATCGTCTATCTTCTCCCTTATGCCATCTCCAACTATACACTAAAATTAGAGGTAAGTTTTGTATTATTTTATACCAAACTATTAAACCAAAACATACACAAAATGAACAGTGTTTAATCACTTTCTTCATTTTTTTATTCTTAACATTTTATTTATTTGAAAAATTATTTCTTTATTTATTTTATAAATACATAAATTACTAAATAAATAATTACTTAAAATTAACGAAAATATTAAATTCATTAAATAATAATAATAATAATAATAATAATAATAATAATAATAATAATATTATTATTATTATTATTATTATTATTATTATTATTATTATTATTA